ATATTTCCAATTTAACCATCCAAATTGTTAAAATGTGTTTCTGCTTAGGAATAAGCCACAGTTACCTGGGAAATTTGCTTATGTGGAAGGGCCTATTCCTCAGGAAAACCACACGTATGAAACACAACTCAAGTTTAGTCAACTCATTGTCATATGTACAATCAAGAATGAGCAATTGTCAGAGGACAGATAGAACACAGTCAGCTACTGTGAAGATACACCATGAGCATAATGTGATCACTGGAAGTATATAAACAAGAGCATTGCTCTAAAATTTATTTTCAGTGATTATCCATTTCTGAAAACCACACAGTTATTGATAATTGAAGAACAATGGAGTACACAGGTTGTGGTGAGATGACCCTCAGGCAGCAGATGACAGGAGGATACACTGCCACAGACGTGGGTTGGGGTGGGGTGAGTCGTCACTGACCATCTAGGTCACACTGAGCTGTTCTGCAGGGGAAGCAGGCAGACCTCGGAGATGTTGCAGGTTCAGTTCCAGACCACCGCAATAAAGTGAAAATTGCAATAAAGCAAGTCACATGAATTTTTTTTTTTACAATAAAGCAAATCACATGCATATAAAAGTTATGTTTCTACTGTAGTCTACTGGGTGTGCAACAGCATTATGTCTAAAAAACAACATATCTTATTTGTTTGTTTGCTTTTGTTTTTTGGCTGTGCCACATGGTTTTCGGGATCTTACTTCCCTGACCAGGGATCGAACCCGAGCCCATGGCAGTGAAAGCGCCAAGTCCTAACACCAGACTGCCAGAGAATTCCCATATACCTTATTTTAAAAATACTTTAATGCTCAAAAATGCTAACCATCATCTGAGCCTTCAGCAAAAGCTGTTGGAGAGTCTTGCCTTGATGGCTGCAGACTAGTCAGGGTGGTGCTGAAGGCTGAGGTGGCAAAATAAGACAGCAGTGAAATTTGTGGCATTGATTGACTCTTCCTTTCAAGAACAGTTTCTCCATAGCGTGCAATGCCGTTTGATAGCATTTTACACGTAGTAGACCGTCTTTCAGAATTGGACTCAATCCTCTCAAACCCTGCTGCTGCTTTATCAACTAAGTTTATGTACTATTCTAAGTCCTTTGTTGTCATTTCAACAATCTGCACAGCATCTTCACCAGGAGTAGATTTTATCTCAAGAAACCACTTTCTTTGTTCATTCACAATAAGCAGCTCCTTATCCATTCAAGTTTTATCAGGAGGTTGCAGCAGTTCAGTCACATTTTCAGGCTCTACTTCTAATTCTACTTCTCTTGCTGTTTCCACCACATCTGCAGTGACTTCCTCGAGGCACTGAAGTCTTGAACCCCTCAAAGTCATACATGAGGGTTAGAATCACCTTCTTCCAAACTCCTGTTAATGTTGATATTTTGACCTCTTCCCACCAGTCACAAATTTTTTTTTTTTTACATCTTTATTGGAGTATAATTGCTTTACAATGGTGTGTTAGTTTCTGCTTTATAACAAAGTGAATCAGAGAGTGGCATGGACAAATGTTCTTAATGGCATCTAGAATGGTGCATCCTTTGCAGAAGGTTTTCAATTGACTTTGCCCAGATCCATCAGAGAAATCACTGCTTATGGCAGCTGTAGTCTTATGAAATGTATTTCTTAAATAAGACTTGACAGTCAGAATGCCTTTTTGATCTGTGGGCTGTAGAATGAATGTTGGGTTGGCAGACATGAAAAAAACATTAATCTAGTTGTACATCTCCATCAGAGCTCTTGGGTGACCAGGTGCATTGTCAATGAGCAGTACTATTTTGAAAGGAATATTTTTTTTCTGAGCAGTAGGTCTCAACAATGGGCTTAAAATAGTAAACCATGTTATAAACAGATGTGCTGTCATCTAGACTTCGTTTCCATTTATAGAGCACAGGCAAGAGTAGATTGCGCATGATTCTTAAGGGCCTTAGGATTTTCAGAATGGTAAATGAGCATTGGCTTCAACTTCGAGTCACCAGCTGCATTAGAGAGTCCGCCTGTCCTTTGAAGTTTTGAAGCCAGGTAGTGACTTCTCTCAAGCTATGGAAGTCCTAGATGGCATCTTCTTCCAATAGAAGGCTGTTTTGTCTACATTGGAAATTTGTTCTTTAGTGTAGCCACCTTTCATGAATTATCTTAGCTAGATCTTCTGGATAACTTGCTGGTGTAGCTTCCGTGTCAGCACTTGCTGCTTCACCTTGCACTTTCATGTTGTGGAGATCGCTGCTTTCCTTAAACTTCATGAACCAAACTCTGCTAATAAGCTCAGACTTTTCTTCTGCAATTTCCTCACTTCTCAAAGCCTTCACAGAACTGAAGAGAGTTAGGGCCATGCTCTGAGTTAGGCTTTGGCTTAAGGGAATATTATGGCTGGTTTGATCTTCTGTCCAGACCACGAAAACTTTCTCCACATCAGCAATAAAGCTGTTTCGCTTCCTTATCATTCGTGTGTTCACTGGAGTAGCACTTTTAATTTCCTTCAAGAACTTTTCCTTTGCATTCACAACTTGGCTAACTATTTGGTGCAAGAAGCATAGCTTTTTGGACTGTCTCAGCTTTTGAAATGCCTTCCTCACTAAGCTTAATCAAATAGTAACATCAAAGATTGCTGATTGCAGATCACATAACAATATAATAACAATGAAAACGTTTGAAATATTGCGAGGATTACCAAAATGTGACAGAGACAAATGCTGTTGGAAAAATAGCACCAATAGACTTGCTCAGCACAGGGCTGCCGCAGACCTTCAATTTGTAAGAAAGTAGTATCTGCGAAGCATAATAAAGTGAAGAGAAATAAAACGAGGTGTGCCTGTATTTATTTGGTGGGTGACAACTACCTAGAACCAACAAACTTCTGTAAAGAGCCAGAGGAAATACTTTAGGCTAATGGGTCTTTCCATCACAACTATTCAACCCTGCAAAAAATATATAGAGAATATAATATGTGTAATCGAATAGTATGGCTGTGGTCCAATAAAACTATTGGTTTAGAACTTAAATAGCAATCGTGGGGACATAGATGATATGCATACAAATCAGTATGGCAGCAGGAAAAAGAATGCTTGCATTTGGAGGTTGTCAAAATGTTGAGCTTCCATCAGCTTTTGAATCATAATGGGATTTCAGCTTTTCGTTTGCTTGGTTTTGTTTGTACAGAGTTTAGAATTTTAGAATTTGCTTGCCATAGGTCAGGTCCCAGATGTCCCCAGTTTTCAGTCTCCTGCTGTCCTTCTCTTTGGTGCTTCAGAAGGTATCCCTGCATCTTTTAATGCCTCTAGGTTGTCCCTGGCAACAGTAATTGCCACTGTCTTGTGAAGAGTACAAGGTTGCTCTATTGGAAAATTCTGGTTGAATGTGATAGTCACTCTGAGTATTTGTTGAGTCAGTGTTCCTTTGGACAAGCACACAGTACACATTTAACTGCCTTTCAGCCATTAATTCTCTGCCACCATGGGAGGGGAGGCCTTGGCCTTATTCTTTCATTATTAGTCAGTGCAAGTTTTGATTCCAGAATGTCTGTCATTTGAGTAGTAGTTACTGATCTGCCCTCTCAGCTTCCTGGACACATCCTTACTTTTCATGATGCTACTGTAGTCACTTCAGATCCTTTTTCTTCGTTGGGGGTGAGGGCAGTGGAGGAAGGAGGAAAATTGGGCAAAGGGTAAGGATAACCCAGTACAACCATTGAAAGCTTGCCCTTCCCCTTCAGAGCTGCAGTCTTCAGAAAAGCACACAGCCAGTGCTGCTTTCGAGCGATTTCCTCTGCTGTGAAGTGATTTGAGTTCTCAAAAGACTGAGATGTTGCTTGCCTGCATCATAGACTGTGCTCCGGGTGGTTTTCCCATGGCCCCTACATCTGAGAGAGAACGGGAGCCATCGCGGTTTCTGAGAAACCTGGTTGGTGAAACGACAGGCCCCAGAGTTTAAGATAAAGAACTGGAGCAGGGGAATCTAGACTGACATGTCTTGCAGCATGTGCCGTGGACAGAGAGACTTCAGTTATCGCGTCTTAGTGATTTCATTGCTCTCTCCAGAGACTCAGCTGCAGCTGTGAGGAAGAAAGGCCGCGTTGCTCAGCACTTGCTTCTGAAGTAACTGACGTCTTTCCTAGAGAGAAGACGTGCACACCGCCTGTGATGTGTGCAGGGTCTTGCAGTCGACAGCATGAGTAACAGGCACCTCCAACTCCCTCGACCCTCACACCAACTGTGAGGAGGGGGCTGGGGCTGGAATGTGGGTGTTTTCCTAGGTCAGGAGACCAGAACTCACAAAGCCCCACAAGCAGGTGGTGCGGAAACATCTCTGGACTCATTGTCCAACATTCCTACGCTTTGCCCTATCACCATGAGTAGAGCAGAACTCATTCCTGGAAAATAAACCATTTTGGCCATAGGGCTAAAAACCCTACCTTGTTTCAAGAACATTCCCCATCCTAGTGAGTGTTTTGCCTTTATTATTGGCTAATGCAGTGCACTAAGTTAGAAGGTCTTCATGGTTGCAGCTAAACCCTAGTCCTAGGTTACCACTACTTTCCTCCTACTCAATCCAGCCTCAACACGAGTCTCTGGGTTTGTCCACAGTGTAGAGGCAGCAGTGTTACTGATGAAGAGAGTTTTCCCAGAGGGCCTGGTGCTCCCCCTCCCACCCCTTTGTCTTTTAGGTCAAAATTTGAACATATCTGTTAGTCCGCCTCCCAGCTGGTATGCTGTGTGTGCTGCTGCTGCTCCGGCTGACCTGAGGCGAGGCATTTGCCCTTTGAAGGCTCCCCTTTCTTTATCTGTCACGTGAAGGCTTTGGGCAAGGTGGCCCTGTTTTAGCTTTCAGAAGTAGGGACAAGAACTCACATTGGAAATGAACAGAAGGTTAGGCAGCTTTTCTGCAAGAAGTTTGCACATAGATACTCATGGCTCGCTTTGGAAAGGTAATTTTGTCAAGTCTCCTTGATGACAAGACCACACCAAATTTCTGGGTTCTTTCTTCTCTCTTCCAGATGCCAGTATGGACAGAATAGCTTATGATGCTTATCCCCGCCCACCACTTCCGAGACATTGAGCGGAAGCCAGAATACCTCCAGCCAGAGAAGTGCGTCCCACCTCCCCACCCCAGTCCTGTGGGAACCATGTGGTTTATCCGTGATGGCTGTGGCATCGCCTGTGCCGTTGTCACCTGGTTTCTGGTCCTCTATGCGGAGTTTGTGGTCCTCTTTGTCATGCTGATTCCATCCCGAGACTACGTGTACAGCATCATCAATGGAATTATGTTCAACCTGCTGGCCTTCTTGGCCCTGGCTTCCCACTGCCGGGCCATGTTGACGGACCCCGTGAGTATGTCTGGGCTTGTTTTGACCAGCCCACACTCTCCTCCTCTGGCCCTGGCATGGCCGCCGCCTGCATGTGCCCCCTGACCTTGGGAATGTGGAGAATAGGAGGGCCAGGGCTGGGGTGGGAAAGTGGACTCAGGCCCCACCGAGGGGACCCCATCTGTACCACAGACTGTCTTGGTTGAATGATGCTTTCTGTATGTAGGTGTCTGCATTAATTGAGCCTACCATGGGAGGAGTTTGATCTCGAGGAGGCTTAGCCTCTAGTTAGAAAGGCACAGTGAGAAAACCACGAGGCTGGGGCCAGATGATCCGAGTGGAAGGCATGCTGGGGGTTGGATCAGGATGGGGCCTCCCAGTGAAGATAGGACTGGAGCCAGGTGAAGCTGAAATTAAAGCCCTATCCAGTTCCAGGAACCTGCACAACAGTGGCCTTTACCTTGTTTGGGCGAGGCTCATCTTTCCCTGAAAAGCTGCATAAGCCTGTTTCAGGCCCTAGCAAGTGCCTCTTGGTTGAGTATCTGTGGGTAAAGCTGTGGTTTTCTGCCCAATGACTTAGCTAAATATACCAAGCTGTGCAAGTGGCTGTTGAGTATTAAAGTCTCCGTTCCTGCTCATTATCTTGTATGGGAAAAGTGAGAGAGAGCGTTATTTGATAAAGACTTCCTATGGCTTAATTGTTTCAGTACGTGGGACAAGTGTGTTTAAATTAAGAAAGGGAAAGCACTGCAAGTGGCAGTGCACTGGCCACACAGATTTCGTTTCTGTGAGTCCTGGGGAAAGCACAGTAAAAATGCTGGGTCCTGAGCTAGTTCCCTTCTCAGAGGGCTCCATTTCCTGCTGGTTCAGGTGGTGGATTGTTAATCCATCCCTAGGGAAAGCCACTTTCCCGGCTCAATCACGAGCCAGTGACCGGCCCATATGGCGCCTCTTCTCATGCACGTGCCTGGAGAGATCGCACACACTGGCAGGCAGGGGCCTGCTGGCCCAGTGTTAGAGCTGCTCGTAGGATTGTTGAACAGCTGTCACCTGAAGGAAATGAAGTACATGGTTATAAGTGCCCTGAAACACAGGGCATAAACAGTTTTCCTCAGCAGCATCAATTTGATCATAATGGAAACAAATTAAGGGTTCATTCAGAAATTTTTATGGTGCCCTTGCTATTGGGGATACAAGAGTAAAAGACATTATTTGTCTCAGCTTATAATTTAGTGTCTGCTGAGCCCCAGGCACTCTTCCTTCTCTCAAGGTGCCCTCTGTCTAGAGGAGACGACAGGTGAGGTTAACCCCGTGTGATGAAGGCTGTGGCAGAAGGAAGCACAAGTTGCTCTGGAAGAACAAAAATTAACCAGTCTAGGCAGGGGTGGCTGCCTGGAGGAGGTGATGCCCAGGCCAGTTCTTGTCAGAACAATGTACATGGGCAGGGAAGGTGGAGGGTGATAGGGCAGGAAGACACTGACAGCATTCCAGGCAGAGGGAGCAGCATACACAGAGACACAGGAATGCAGGAGTGTGGTTGTTTGGAGTGGTAGGAACTTAGGAGAATGGGTTTGGTTTGGTGATGTGGCCAGAGTGCCAAAGAAGTGGGGTAGGAGTTGGAAAATGGGGCCAGCGAGAGCCCCTGAGGATTTTAAAAGAGTGATGAGATCAGATTGTCATTTTACAAAGATCACCGTGGCAGCAGTGAGGAGGAGCCCCGGGGGCACTCAGGAGTGGGACAAAATGGATGCCATGTTTATTGAGTACCTACTATGTGAGAGGGTCCTTCTGAGCAATGGATACAGCTGTGAGCAAGACAGACCACAATCCCTGCCCTACTGCTGCCCACATCCTAGCGTAGGGCGTCAGGCAGTAAAGACGTGATGGAACAAGGTAATTTCAGAAGTCGAAAAGGGCTTTAAAGACAGCAAAACCGTGTGATCCAGGGGCTGTGGTAGTGACTTTTCTGGGGCGAAGGAGGACTATTTATTTATTTACTTACTTACTTATTTTTTATTTTATTTTATTTTATTTTATTTTTCCAGAATCCTAATCACTAGGCCACCAGGGAACTCCTGAAAGCTCATAGTGGTTTGGTTTGGTTTTAATTAATTAATTAATTAATTTTTGGCTGCATTGGGTCTTCGTTGCTGCGTGCAGGCTTTCTCTAGTTGCGGCGAGCGGGGGCTACTCTTTGTTGCGGTGCGCCAGCTTCTCATTGTGGTGGCTTCTCTTGTTGCGGAGCATGGGCTCTAGGTGAGCAGGCGTCAGTAGTTGTGGCACATGGGCTTCAGCAGTTGTGGCTCGCGGGCTCTAGGTGTATGGGCTTCGGTAGTCGTGGCTCACGGGCTTAGTTGCTCTGTGGCATGTGGAGTCTTCCCGAGCCAGGGCTCGAACCTGTGTCCCCTGCATTGGCAGGCGGATTCTTAACCACTGCACCACCAGGGAAGTCCCAGGAGGACTATTTAAATGAAGGTGATCTGAGAAGGACCCCTGAGGCGATGCCACTTGAGCTGAGGCCTAAATAACATGAAGGGGTAGGTCAGGCAGGTGAAGGTCAGAGGGCAGTGCCTTGCAGGCAGAGGAGAGGTACAAAGGCCCAGAGATAGGAGTGTGCTTGGCGTGTTTGAGAAACAGGACTCAGACCAGGGTGACCGGAGCATGGTGAGCGGAGGCGAGAGGGGCTGGAAGCGGTGGGGAGGGCTGCAGAAGCCAGGCCGGGCAGGACCTGTGGGCCTCGTGAGAACCTTGGTCTCTATTGTACAGTGAGAAGCCATCAGAGAGGCATGATGTGACCTGATTTTTGAGAAGACACTGCCTTGTGCTTGCGATAGGGTTCTGAGGTGGGGCAAGTAGAAGCAGGAAGATGAGAGTTATCGCAGTGGGCCACGCAAGACGTGGTGGCAGCTCAGACCAAGGTGGGAGCGGTGAGGCTGGGGGAGAGAAACTTTTGGATTTGGAATGTATTTTAAGCCCCTAACGCTCAGGCCTGGCTGCATATTAGAATCCCTTGAGGAGCTTTCGAAAAGTACTGATGCCTTGGGCCCCATCCCCAGAGATTCTACTCTAATTGGTCTGGGATGGGGCCCTGGGATTGGGGTGCTTTAAAGCTCCCAGGTATCCCTCATATTCATCCAGGTCTGAGAACCGCCATTCAGAAGAGTGACAAAAGGGGAGAGGGATCAGAGAGTGTGCCTTCCAGAGTCTTGGCTGGAGTAGCTGGGAGATTTGCTGGTCCCCTTTATTGAATGGGAGAGTCTGGGGAGAACAGATTTTGGAGGAGAAATCAAGACTTCTATTCTGGCCAAACTGTGTCTCTGTTACATGTAAGCAGGATTGCTAGCTGGGCAGTGGACAGCCAGGTCTGGGGCTGGTGGGGAGTTGGGATCAGAGAGTAGAGTGTGGAGTTTACTGGTTTCTAGAAGGCATGTGAATCAGGGAACTGGATGTCGGGTGGGAGGGAGAAGAGGCTTCTGCCCTGGCCTTCCTGCTACCCTCACACACGTGTGTTCTTTGACCTCCACGTTGTGCCCTCTCCAGGGTCTTCCTCAGTCTGGCCCCTTGCAGTCAGATGCAGGAGAGAGTGATTCTCACTGTATGTTGCTCGGCTTCCAATCCCAAATGAGAGCCACAGACTATATCCCAAACACCATTCAGCTTCTCATAGGTGTGTTTTGCTGTTGGCCTGAAAGAAAATGGGGCAAAAAAATAAAGCGTCTGTCAAATATCTACCATTAGTAAGGGGAGCAACTCAAAGCATGCCCTGCAGACCTGCCCCATCTCCGGCTCTTCATGCTGCCACCTGCCTCTCCCCACTCCCAACATGTGACATCTTATGCAAAACCCAGTACACAAAACAGAGAGAGGTGGGGCTGCAGAGGAAGGAACCCCTGGGACACCCCGGGCTTCCAAGGGACGGAGTTGGGGAGCCCAGATCTCACACTGAAAGCAAGTCAATTAGGGGTTCCTTATTAACACTGCAGGCAGAGTCTGTTTTTAAAAAGGCATCACTGCAGGATTCTAAGGAGTTCCCTAATAGGATTGTAATGTTTTGTATCTCAAGAATTCATGTTGTGTATAATTTTTCAGAAAAGTTTATATCCGGAGGTTATAAGCAATGTATAACAATGTATGCATTGTATATCATTTTGGTTTGTTAATATTACTAGTAAAACAAAAACAAAAAACAAACAAAAAACTCCTGCAGTCTCCCCCAGACAGTTACTGGTAGCCCTTTCAGCTTTGAAATTCTTATTCCAAATGTAACATCAGAAGAGTTGCAACCACTACAGCTTTCTGGACCATTTAGCAGTCATTTACTCCAACATAGTAGTAAGTGGGTCCACGAAGAGCTTGAGCAGAAAAGGGGAGAAAGAAATGACTTGGAGGTGGAACTCCCATTTGAGAAATGGGGTGAAAGGGATAGACAGGCCTGTAAGAAGAGGGAAGGGGGCAGGTGGACAGAGGGGCCGTACCTCACTTGGCAGGTGTGCTGGCCTGGAGGTGGCATGGTGTGGGCGGGCGCGTGAGTCAGACCGGTGTTTGATTTCAGGCTGCCCTCTCCTTGCCTGCTCTGAGGTTGTGTAATGTCTTCAAAGGAGCTTTCTGTGTTCCTGAAACACTTGAGACGGTGCGAGGTCGAGAGTGGCTCCGCTTGCCTGGAGGAGGCAGCCTCCTGAAGGCAACCTGGGCTCAGGGACTCTTTCTGACCTTGGTACCTGCTCTGTCTCCCCGCCCCATCCCAATTCACCACCTGACCTTTTCCAGTTATAAATACATTTTAACTCCTCATCCTAGGAACCCCCTCAGGAATCCTGAAGGATTCCATTTAAAATTTAGATCTGGGACAACACCTGTCTCCCAGAAGGTGCTTGAAGCTGAGAGCGTGTTTCTTTTTGTCCTGGCTGCTGAAAGCCCAAAGCCAAGCACTACACAATCACAGCAGTTGTGTCAACCCTATGATCAGCTTTTTTTTTTTGCCCCTGCTTTCTTTGGACCTAATCGTTTATTAACCTCATTGT